ATGGAAAAGCTGCAGTTAGGTTTGTCACAGGAAGCAAGCTTCTGAAGTCTCTGCAACAGTATAGTACATAAGTGCTGTTTCCAGTTCTTTAAAGACACCAGTTGTCAAGTGAACTAAGGAGGTAGGAGCTCCTGAAAAGCCTGCCAATCTGAAAATGAAGTTCCTTACTGATCGTATCTGAGCTACTACCTCTAAAAACCACCACTAAATGGCAGATTACATTGTGGGAAGGGTGTTGCTAGCTAAGAGTATATTGCTAATTAACTTCTCACATTTGCTCATTCAGCACTAGGCCATTATTCCTGGACACCTGCTGTCCTGGGATAGAGGTAAGTTGGAAGGAAAAATGCAAGGGAGCATCATTGCATTCCTCCGAATCCAAAAGAGGGACAGTTTGACCTCATGTCAGAGGCCCCTTAAGTTGTTCTTTTGCTGAGGGCCTGTTGGCAAAACAGAATAGTCTATAACACAAAAGATACAATTTTGGTACTTATTAAGTATTTCATCTTATCTACTAAATGTGCATAAATGTAGAATAAGACACTTTCTTCCAGAGAGGCTGTGGATGCCCTGTCCCTGGAGGTGTTCAAGGCCAGGTTGGATGGGGCCCTGGGCAGCCTGGTCTGGTATTAAATGTGGTGGTTAGTGGCCCTGCATGTGGCAGGGGGTTTGGAGATTCATGAAGCTTGAGGTCCCTTCCAACCATGGCGATTCTGTGATTCCTCCAGCTGCTATTACTGGTGAGGAGAGCAGCTCTGTTTCCTGGGCTGATGGACGTGGCCCTGGCCCCAGAGGCATGCATTATATACAGTGCAAGGTTCAGCCTGGTTGGAACAATATTTCTTTTTGATTCCATCAATGATTTGATTTCATTTGGCAAATCATAACGTCTTCTTAGCATTTTATCCCAATTTAGCAACTCCCCTGCCTGCTGGAGGCCCACCATTGCAATTGCAAATAAAATCTGCTTTATCAGAGATACTGTCCCAGAAAATTATTTGGATATTTCCAACAGCATTACAATTACCTGAGTATTTGAAGTTACAATGCAAGGAAATTTCAACAACGAATTTCAATATCTAGTGCTGCCGATCCTAGTTGATGCCCTAGTTCACTACAGCATACATACACAAACAATGATTCTTGAAGAAAATTAAAAAGACATCACAAGAAAAGGGCTCTGGAGATACCAATATAACAGAGTTGAAATCACAAATTCAGTGCAGCATGTAATCATAATTAAACTGGCCAAAGCAATATTCCATAACATATGTTATAACATATGTTATATGTTACGACATTATGTTCATGCCAAAGGAGTTTTGAAGGGGACAGAAACTCGTCTAACTCTCTTCTGGTGCTTGGTACATTACATTTGCCTAGTGTTTTGCAACATACATCACTCAATTAAGATTACAATTAGCTCAGCAGTGCAGGAGAGAAGAGAAGGTGAGTTCTGGCTCATCATAAATATGCATGAAGAGTGCCTATATCTATGGGAATGCAGACAGGGCTAGGCTCTGGGGGTTATATTCTCATATTCTGAATCCAACAAGCCTACCATCTCTTTAAGAAGTTCTGTTTTGCCATAAGCAAATGACAAAGGATCATGCCTTTGAACTATAAGAACAGTTCCTGTACTGAAATTAAATAAAGAAATCTTCGTAATTTTTCTGTTCAAGAACACTGCCAGTTTTTCATATTTAACTGTTACAGTGGAATTTTAAGGTCTCAGCCTGAACCAATGGGTGAGCTTCACAAGTACATGAGTGCCTGGAGTGAGCAGGAGGGGTTAGAGCCACCCCTCTGTCTCCATGATATTTCAGGTCCCATCTGAGTCTGCACAGGTCCCTGTTCCCCCTGCCATTCACTGCTGCAGCCCGATGGTACAAATGAGATAGGGTCACATTCCTCAGCTCATCCTTTTCTCTAAACTGTTACTAGGAGGGGTGAGTTAATTCCTCTAGTATATCTTTTCCTAGGGCACCTATTTCTCAAATAAAGGCTCTGTCATTACTTTCGTTTGCTCTACAACTGGTTGAGACTTTGACCGTAGTTCAGAATACACAGGATTCAAAGTTGAAGCTAGAGGTTACCTTATGTGCAAAAACTGTGACATAGGTAGGCAGCACATTTACTATATGTAGGACAGAGACTTCTCATGCTTTTTTCCCTTTGCAAAAGATAATAATTATATTTTTTTTCACTAGTTTATCCTCTGGGAAGTTCGTTTAATGTTTTAGATGAGCTCCCACATGGTACATACAAGGTTCTATTCCCTTTGGCCAGTAATTAGATACACACTGTAAACTTTTTTTTTTTAAACAGTATATGTTAAAAAAAGAATATGCATGTACAGTTTCCATAGTTTACAACAATATTTGATCAGTCTAAGATCAGGGTTTTCTCATAATAAACTTAATATATATAAATAATAAAATGCATGTTTTACATGTTTTTGTAAAAACATGAAAAATAGGGAGCAACAAAAACTAGTAGGATGTTAGACCTTGCTTTTGTGAAATTGATACATCAGGTTTGTTCAATAGCAGCGGTTGCCACTCCTAGTGAGTTCTCAAGGTGTTCATCAGCAATTTTTGATGAAATATTACTCTTCCTGTGCCTCACCTTTGACAATAATTTTTCACAAATGTATGTATGTACAATCAATGAAAATACAGATGTTATAACTATGAAATGTACCAAAGAGCTTGGCTATGCAGTTATTACACCAAAGCAGAAAAGATAGAAGTCTTACCTATATCCTGGGCTTGCTTATGAAGCTCCAGTAGAACGGATCTCCAAAAGAGATCTTTCCCCATTGGAAGTCAGCTCTTAAATGGGCCTAGGAGAGGTGGAGCCAGGCTCCATCCCTTCTGGCAGCACAGCTGAATTGCCTTCACCTGTGCCTTCACCACAGTTCCCGTGGCTGACTCATTGCTCACCTCAGATGATCACCAATCCCCTTCCATCCCAACCCCAATCCCAATCTCAATCTCATGTCCAATTCCTATCTCTAATCCCAATCCTCCCAAATCCCACATTCCCACATCCCCTCCTGCCACACACATCCCCATACACCCTCCTACCCCACACAGGGCCCCAAATGGCCCCAAATTACACCACTGTCCCCAAGTAATGTCCCCAAATGCCTCAAAAGTCCCCAAATGTCCTAAATATACCCAAATAAAGGCCCCAAAGGGCCCAAATATCCTCAAACAGCTCCATATAATGTCCCCAAATGGCCCCAAAGGCCCTAAATAATGTCCCACACAGGTGCCAGAAGCTGTCAAGGATGGTGACAAAGGTGACAGAGCTTCTGGTTGTGTGTATTGCAGAAGTTGTTCCCCACCTGTGGGGTGGAGATGGGGGTCAGGGACACGATGGTCCCTGCATGGCCCCATGGTGCAGTGTGGGCTGTACCCCAATGATGTAGCGCACGATGCCACACTCCTTGACTGTGTGCACAGTGCTGCTGTGGGTGGCATTGCAGTCAGTGACGATGATGAGGATGCAGCGTGTCTCAGGATGGGAATCATTCTCTGCCCTGAAGATGTACTCCCTGCCAGACCCCCCTGCCCTTGAAGGGTAGGGGTGGGCAGGGAGCAATGGGGACAGGAAGAGTGTAGAGGTGGGTGTGGGGACACTGGGAACACAAAGAGGACCATGGGGATATTGGGAGTGGACGTGGGGATAGTGTGGACGGGGGGAGCACTAGGGATGGCGAGGAAGGCGTTGGGGACATTGGGGGCACAGAAAGGACCATGGGGATGTGGGGGGTGGGTGGATGAATACTGGGATGCACTGGGAGGAGGGCATGAGGTCATGGTGTGGGTTTGGAGACACTGGGGAGGTGACTGTGGGGGCACTGGGGATGGGATGAAGGGAATGGGAATGGGGACACTGGGGGCACAGAGGTGGGCATGGGGACGTGGGGGTGGGAGTGGAGATGGAGCACTGGGACATTGGGATGGGTGGGGGGATATTGAAAGCACCCGCAATGCAACATGGGGTGATGCACAGTGACCATGGGGTAATGTATTCTTTTTTCTGTTGTTTCATGGCTGTATGGGAACTGTGAAGTCACAACCTAAAACAGTGATTGAGCACTTGGTGAGGGGTGTAGCCCTGCAAGCACTAGTGGGAGCAGTTCACCTAGGATGGGATGGGGCTCAGCCTGGCTCCACCCCTCCCTGACCACATTAAGGGCTGGAAAACATTGTGGCAGCATCTCTTCTTGGAGACTGTCTCTTTTGGGGTGGGGGGATCCTTTCTTTATGTTAGGGCTATGAGCTTCTCCCTGTTTGTGGAGTGCGTGCATGTTTGTTTGTTTTTTGAGGAGGGGGAGATTCCTGACCATGTTGAAGGGCAGCATGTCTACCAGGAGGCTGTTTTCTTTGGAGCATGAGTGAGTGTTGGCCCTTGGAATGGGGTGAGGGATTACTTCTTTATCTTAGGGCAGCAATGCACTTTTTTTGGGGGGGGGTATCCTGTCCACGTTGAAGGGCTGGTAGTTGTAAGGGCAACATCTTTACTTGAAGACTGCTTCCTTAGGAGTGTGGGATGAGCTCTAGTCCTTGGAATTGGGGTGAGTGATTTTTTTATTTTATTTTGGGGCTGTGATCTCTCTTGTTTTTGGGGGGGATTCTGACCACATTTAAGGTTTTAAGGTCTAGCAGCCATAAGGGCAGTATTTCTTCTCAGAACCTGACTCCTGTGGTGTGCACAGTAAGCTCTGGCCCTTGGAATGGGGGTAATTGATTCCTTCTTTATTTCACAGCTGTGAGATCACATTTTTTGGGGGGGAGGGGAGGTTGTGACCACATTTAAAATCTGGCAGCCATAAGGGCAGCATCTGTACCTGGTGGTTATTTTCTTTATTGTGTAGGGTGAGTGTTTGTCTTTAAAATGGAATGAGTGGTCCCTTCTTTATTTCAGGGCTGTGAATTTTTTTTTTTTTTTTTTTTGGGCGGGGGGGGAGTTGCATTTCCTGGCCACGTTTTAAGGGCTGGCAGCCATCTCCACCTGCAGAATGCCTTCCAGGGAGTGTGGGTGAGTATTGGTCCTCAGGAAGGGGTGAGTGATTTCTGCTTAATTTCAGGGCTGTGAGCTCTACCATTTTTTGCATATCCTGAACTGGAGCAGTATCTGTTATGTGTGTCCTTAAAATGCTCTTCAAGTTCTCCCTAAGGGAGATAAGGGTGTTATTTCCCTTTCTCTGAGCTGGTGATGGAAGGACTGATACATGTTTCAATCTTTCATTGCTCCCTCATTTCCAGAAAGCTTCAGTCAGCACCAAGATGATGCTGGTTGGCTGACTGCGCGCTACAGCTCTGGGAATGCTCAGAGCTAATGCCCTTTTCCATAAACAGGTTCTGAATTCTCCAGATCCTGTCTGCAAATCTTCTTAGACTCATTACCTTCTGGTTGAGCCTCTGTTCCCTCTTTTATGATTCTCACCTCATAGTCTCCGACCTGGGGCTCCAAACATGGTTTGTCTGCTCCAACCTCATCCCAGCCTTTTTAGTAACTAATTCACAGTGCTATATTAATTCCACCCATGCAGAATTGCTTAAGGGTGCTCTGTTGTGTATCATTATGTATTAATATATGTTCTATGTCTCTTCTGATCTCATTTTGCAGCTTGATGGGGTATAAGGATTACCAGGGCACCTCTAATCAGTGGTATAAGCACTGTGAAATCTGCGGAGCAGGTAATGAAACATCATGAGCTCCTTGTAAGTGCATTGCTTATATGCAGGCAGGTTTGTAATGACTGTGGGAAGCTCACTTAGGGATTGAATGGGGTTACCCCATTCTGACAGATCGCTCAGTATCAAAATTGGTATTTCAGTGGATATTTACAAGCCTCGGGAGACCCAGATGGGATCCCCAGAGTGGCGTGGCCAGGTACGGAAGTTAGAAATAGAAAACTACTATGCTTTAATTCTTGAAGTTGAATGTCTGTTTTGCATTGCAATTGTTTTGCAACGTTAACGATTGTTAATCACTCCTAGCCATCCTTGGCTTTGCTGCGCACACCTGTCCAATTGATACCAGCTTTTTCATCACCTCAGAGGCTTGCAAAAAAAAAAAAAAAAAAAAAAAAAAACATGACAAAATCAATTTGATTATTTATTGATTGATTTACAGATATTCTTACGTGCTTAGCAGAGCTTTGCTGGGTGTAGAGAAGTTTTCCTTGGTTTTCTTCGTCTTTTTCCAATTGACGTAATTTTCTCCTCCCTCAACCCCCATCTAACTGCGTTTTTCCTCTGCCATCACGGCAGGGAGAAGAGCGCCAGAAGCTGCGGCACGGCTGCGCGTCGAGCCAGTCGTTGTTGTTTCCACGGTCTCCGGTGCCCCCTCGTGGCCAACAGGTGGAATTGCGGCCGTGTTTGGCGCCGCAGGCAATGCGCACAGGCACGCGGCGGCGGTGTACTCGCGGTGCATTCCTCGCTCTGCGCAGCAAATCCGCCGGGCTTTGTTATGGTTAGTCCTCGAGGCAACAGAGCGCATGCGCCAGGACACTCGTAACTAGCATTCAAATCTACAAAGCCTCGACGTGCAGGCGAGCAGTCGATTTCTGGAGCACTGGCTCTTCCAATCGGCCGTGCTCCTTGTCCATTTCCTCGGACGGTTTGACACTCGAGCCTGCAACGGGAACAGCCTATTCTGGCTCCCAGCGGCCCCTGCGCCCCTCGCACGCGGAATGAGGAGTAGAAAACAACGCACGCGTAGGTGAGTACTCGGAACTAATCATGCGAAATAACCTGCCGGGCCGGGGCTGGTTATTATCCCATAACTTTCTCGAGACAGGCACGCGCGCAGTGCGGTGTATGAGCTTGGGCGTGCGTAGTGCTGTGCTGAGAGTAGCGTGTGCATAGCGCTGAGCCGATACCGGCACCTGCACAGTCCTGTGCCGGGACCGGTGCTTAAGTGAAGGAGTGCCCTGATTCGCGCATGCGTGTTGCTTTCCCGAGACTTTCTTGTTCCGGGTTGCTGTCATTTCGGTGCTGCTGCACGCCGGTACTGCGACAGCGAATCTCCAAGCTGATCGTGTTCTACTGCCGCTGCGAGAGCTAGGGAATGGTGCAGGGCTGGGGGTGGAAGGGGACGCTTGCTATTACCTACAAGACTGATTAGCTGAGCAGAACGTTAGAACGGCACTTCCGCATTTTGTACGCGCATGCGTTGTGCTGCTTGCGGGACGCAGCGGCCGTTCCGCGCATTGGCCAGGAGGTGGCAGCAGAGACCGCGGAAAGAACTTTTCCGACGGGATTGGCGGGGAGCAGCGGCGCAGTGCCTGGCGATCTGGTCTGTGTGCTGTGAGGACGGGAGAGGGGCACGAAGTTGGAAGTGGAAGGGTTGTGGGGGGAAAGACGAAGAAGAAAGAGGGAACCTACTCCAAACCCAGGAGAGCTGGGTGCATATAAATAGCTTTTTTTTTTTAAAAAAAAAAAAAAGAGTTTTTTTTTCTTTTTTTCTTCTTTCTTTTTACCAACGTCTCTTGCATTGTTTCTAAATGTTCAAATACCAAAATGCAACTGCCCAGCAAATCTAATGATAATGGGATTAGAGCCCATTGGCAGAAAGTGCAGGGCCATATTAATGTTCATTCAGTCTCTGCCTTGTTTATACTTCCACATATTTTTCTTCAAAAGCCTTTCTTTCACTGCGGGTTTCATTTTTGGCTTTCTGTTCTTTTCATGCCATAAAATGGGAAGTTTTAGGTCCTAGGAAGTCTAAGCAGCCAGATCTAGCACAAAGCTGCAGTTTTGAGTTCTGTGTAGACCATTACAGTGTTCCTACAAAGATTAACAAAAACTGCAGTTCTGCCCCTCAGTTTACAAATGGAAAAAATTAATTCACCTGCCTAGAAAGAATTGATGTGTCACAGCTGCCGTTGGCAAGATGGCCCGAGAGTTGTGTGGGTGCATCTGGCTGTGAGAGGAATGTCTTTGTGGAAGGACAGCTTGTTCCCCCCTCTGATGGGGGCAGCTTCTCAGCTGCCCTACCCTGGTCTTCCTGCAGCTGGACAGCTAGCCCAGAAGGGCACAAGGTGCACAGACCCTCCCTGGCCAACTGCAGCAATCAATCCTGCCAGTACTCCCTTTCCCCCTGACCATTCCCATTTCTCAGGCTGGAGCCCTGTGTGGCAGAGGAGGAGAGAGCTGCAGGCAGAAGGAAAACAGGGTGCTGGGATTCCTCCAGCTCGCTGCCAGCTGTCTTCTCTGACATTTTGGGGGCGGGCAGGGGACTGTGGGAGCACCCTCAAGGCTCTGAGCAGGAGGGAAGGAAGCAAAGATGCAGCTGCAGGCAGCGGGCTCTGAGCTGGAGCAGTGCGGCCAGGCACTGTACAGCTCACAACCTGGGCACAAGGAGCAAGTTTGTCCAGCTGAGGGCTGCAGGGCTATCCTTATCAAGCACTCCCCCATCCCACAGGTCTGCAGTGACTGCACCACTTGCTCGAGCTCTTCCCACTGCAGGAGCTCAGAACTGACAAGAACCCTGACCAAAGCAGGTAATGGCAACATATGCACATAGGTACACACCTGATACAGAATCTGGCACTTGACAGTCCTCCTAGAGCTTCTTGCTGCTTTTTAGGCTGTTCTACCGCTATTCTGTCCTTTTCCCCCTCATTCCCCTATGTCTTGCCCTTTCCTTCACCCTGTGCCTTCCCCATTCCTTTTTCAGGCTTTCTCCTTTCTTTCCTCACTTCCTTCCTTGTGACGACCCCACGTTCTGCTGCTGTTCTCAGCTGACGCTCCTTAAGCTGCACTTTTCAAAGACATGGGATCAGGCTGCATACTGTCCCTTACTTAAAACAAACAAACAAGTGCTGTGTTATGTATAGATAATGGACTCCTGCTTGAAAACCAATAGCATCTCCACATCCTGGAGTGTCACCATCATCCCCAGGTTGGGCTGGTGCTGCTCATCTGCCCTGCAGTGCTGCTCAAATGGCACTGGCACAGCCTGCCACCTCCCTGTGTCACCTCTACGTGTCACCTCATCTCACCTCTGCAGTTCTGACCCCACTCCTCCACCCCATGTCCTCACATGTCCCTGTGTCCGCCCACATCCCCTGCCCCAATTCAGTCCACGCTGATGTCACCATGGGATTGAGGATGGGGGCAGGGATGCCTGTGGGGTGCGTGGAGTCCCGGGACAAGTTGATGGCTGTGCACAGGGGGGTGATGGTGCCCTCGGCGCACAGTTGTGATGGGGGGGTGTGAGTCATTGCCCCCAAAATGGGGCTTGTGCCCCACGCATGTTGGCAAGTTGTATGGGGAGTGCTTTCTGGAGATGATCTGTCTTTTCTCCAAATCTGCAGCGACTTCAGCAATCCCGCGTCATACCGCAGCAGAAATGGGGCACTGCTGTATGTCAGCGATCTCTGACTCAAGCACAGAGGCTGCACGAAGGACACATGCTGCAACCTCCCTGTTTCTGTGGGGTTTGGGATTGATGTTTGAGCCAAAAGGCCTCATGGTGCCATACAGGCAGGTGCTGGGTTCACCCACTGAGGACGCCAAATCCTGAAATAATGTCACAGCGGTCTTTAATTGCTGTGCCAGGAGATGATGCGCATTTCTCCCTGGGGAGCTGTAAGCTGACACCGCAGTGTGGCAGACAGCACCAAAAAGGGATGCCATGCTGTACTTTCCTACCCTAGTAACTCCTGGTTCTGCTGGTACACCTCTTGTACCTGGAGCTGGCTCTCCATCTGGCTGAAACGTCATCTTTAACACTTCAAAACAAGCCTAAGGAGAAAAGATTTTGGTGATGTGACATGAAAATAGACAGCACAAATATAGACCAGGATAACAGAAGTTGCACATGCTGGGTGTTGAATCTCATTTGGAAACCAAACCACAGTGAGAAGTCTTATTTTATTTGGTTCATTTTTGCTAATCTCCCGGAGGATCAGGAGGTCAGTAGATGTAAACTAGAGATGCATCACAGGGATATTCAATCAAGGTGATGCAACACATATCTAATTGTTTTTTCATAATTACAATGACTAATAGATATTAACGTGATAGTGACTCTCTTCCTAGCTTAATATATGTTAACGCTAAATTTGAAACTGGCATCCTAATAAATAGGGCTTCTGAAAGAGGCATGTTGACAAAAGTGTGGTTTTACCTACTTGTTTTTCGTTGTAATATCAATATATTGAAACATTTGCACAGGGTCAAGTAGTTGTGAGGGGATAAAACAGCACATGAGGTTATAATTACTATGTTAGGTAAAGCAGAGCATTATCAGTCTTCATTGTTGTATTTTTTTTCTTTCCTTCCAGTTACCTGACAGTCCAGGAACTTTTTCACAGCTGTGTTTTCTTCAGAAGTTAGAAATAAGATTGGCAGATTCATGTCTGTGTTCACCCACGCAGGAAAGTATTGGAAGAACTGCATTATTTCATCCCACTCTTCGGTGAGTTTCTATTATTTACCATGTAAGAACAACTTCTTTGTAATGCCTCCCTTGTAGAAAAATGACGTGTTTATCTTTATCCCTTAACTTTATCCTCTCTTCCCGAAAAGTGTTGTCAATTAAACAGTTCACCGCGAGTGCCACTTCCGAGCCGTGAGAGCGAAGTTGTGCCGTTCTGAAGCCGAGAACGTCCGAATTCAGCCTGCTGCCTTTCCTCCAGCTGCCTCTTTAAGAGAGGCTTTTCCCTTCTACCCTTGTGGTCACAGAACACAGAAGTGGAGCCACAGAGAACCACTCTACAAAGAATTGTCGCTCGAAATTCCATAGTGTATGTGTATGCTCCTTAAGTGTTAGTTAGTTAGTTAGTTATTTGGTGTCGGAGGTTGCTCTCACACCAGAAAAAATACCTAGCCAATCAGACAAACAAAAAAACAAACAGAACACCTCTGAGGTGTATGTTGTCACATTGGAAGGATGTTGCGGGTGGGTCAGGGGGAATATTAAATAAGAAACTAGGAACATAAAGGGAATAGTGGGACCAGTTTCCTAATTGAGTACCCTAATCAGGAGAGACCAAGTTCTTGGTGTTTGTGGAAGTTGAAGAATTGTGCGGTTTATTTGTGTATTTTGGAAGGAATGAGACAAACTGTTTCGTTGGTATAAGAAAGGTAATTGTTACTGGTATACAGAAGTAGAATGGAGGGTATGTGGAAGGGTAACTGAGGGTGCGACAAAGGAAAAAGGGTTAAAGAGAAAGTGAGTTAATCTGTGCTGGTGTGAGAGCAACCCCCCACATCGTTTCCCCACGAGCAGAACTTGGTGTGTGAGTGTTAGCTGCAGATAGAGACTTCTGCTGCAAACAGCATTACTTGCAAAGGGGGAGGTGAGAAGGCAGGGCACTGGAAGTGAGACTAGCCTCTGCAGAGAGAATCCCAGTGTTGGTACTGGGAGCCTCTGGAGAGGAGGAGGTAAACTGGGAATAACAGCAGCTGTTAGTGTTACTGCACTGGAGTAGGGCCGTAGGATCCAGGGATCCACTCAGAGAGAAATGGGGAAGGGGGGGCTGGAAGAGCCCAGAGAGAGTTCTGCCCCATCGGAATGAAAGTAATGTGTAAATTACTGAGAAAGAGGGGACAATTTCTGCTTGCATAAATGAAGGATGAGAATTTGGGAAGTCTACCTTAGCAGTTCCACTGGTTAAATTACAGCTAGGAGAGCAGGATAAAGAAGTTTATCTTTAACACAAACAGGGAAAAACAAGGTTATAGCCCCAGAGACAGAAAGAGCAATATTTCATCAAAAACCTCTGGCAAACACCTGGAGAACTCCTTCAAAATTGCAACCGCTTCCCTTGAATCAGACACTGCTGCATTGTTTCACAAAAGCAAGGTCCAAATTCCCACTAGTGTTATGCTTTCTCATTTTATGTTTTAGTCATACATTACAAAGAAGCTTTGTTACTCCTGTATACTAAGGACATGTTATCTTCAGCCCAAGACAATGACTCTTCAGCTAATGCCACCCAGGCAAGCCGGATGATTGGTGATGCTGAAAAGGCTCAGGAACATTCTTTCTTTAAACAGGCCAAAGTCCATTCGAAGTTCAAAACTTGGCAAAATTCAAGCTTCATACTTATTTACACAATAATATTATTGGAATACGAATCAAAGAAATAAATAAGTCCCATTCTTGCAAAACCTGTTGCTGGTTCCATTGCACTCTTCTGGAAATCTGCACATAGAGAAATGAAATTCAGGAAGATTCCTGTGTTGCATGCAGCAGATGTTCGCTGGGATGATCGTGGGAGAGAGCTGTCATTAGAAAATTGTCATGTGAATTCACAAAGCATATCAAGAACAAGACAGCACCAAAGCTGAGAAACAAATGTGTTTTTTCCTAAGACAGATAAGATTTCAAGAGAAGATGCTGCTTTCCACAAAGCATAGAATGCTTTTTTTTTTTAATTTTAATTTTTTTTTTTTTTTTTTTAAATTAGTAAGCAGAAACTGGATATATCCACAGCCCATAACTATTCATGGAATTCCTTTGTTGTTCTTTCATACCCCTACAAGGCTTGGCAATAATCCCCAGTACATAATCAAATATGGAAAAGCTGCAGTTAGGTTTGTCACAGGAAGCAAGCTTCTGAAGTCTCTGCAACAGTATAGTACATAAGTGCTGTTTCCCGTTATGAAGAGAATCCCAACAAAAATTGTTAGTACCAATAAATGACAATAGATGGAAGCAGAGACCATGAAATACTCATCTTGCTGCTTCTCACTACAGAAACGGCAATTCATTCGCACGGTAAGTCCGATATTTTCAGAGAACTACTGAAAGAGACGGTAGGCCTGTTGGATTCAGAATAAGAGAATATAACTCCCAGAGCCTAGCCCTGTCTACACTCCCATAGATATGGGCATTCAGATGTGAGACCACATCGGGAGTATTCCATCCTGAATGCAACCCTAGCATACTGCTGACTGTCCCTGTTTTGTATGATCAGAAAAGTGTTACTATTGCCATGAAGTGACATATTACCTTTCATTAACCCTTACACTTCCTAGATGATTGTGTTTTTTCTCCTTTTGTGACATCCATTCGTCACACTCTCAGTTGGAGGACTGATAGGATTGAGATCTTACTTCTTCAGAAGTGATCTTACTTCTTTAGAAGTTTAAAGCAACTATTTCTTCTTCCTGGTGATTATAGTGATAGTGAATTTTTCAACTGAAATGTAAAACTCGTGGGTGTTGTAGAATAAATAGAGTAGATATGCTAAGCCAGTTTAAGTGACAACACTTTTCGGGAAGAGAGGATAAAGTTAAGGAATGAAGCAAGTCATTAATCTGAGCAAAAGTGGAAAAAAAAAATAAAAAATCACGGGAGCAGAAAATTGAATAGATAGGGCACGCACAAATCAGTAGCAGGAGTGTCATTAAACTCAAAAGGAGGCAAGCTTTGTTCCCTAACGAAGGACAATTTTTGCAATGACCCTCATTGTCCACTTTGCATCATATCTGTTTGAAATTCTAGGCCCCTTTCTTCCATCTTGAATGCGGGATTGCATATATGCAATACTGTGAAACAAGAACATTCTGCCTCTAAAACAATTTTGCTCACACTTCCACCTGCTCACCCTGCCACATCATCTGCCTCCTGGAGCAGCCCAGCCTGGCCAAGGGGTGGATGGAGCCAGGCTGAATGAATGAATGAATGAATGAATGAATGAATGAATGAATGAATGAATGGGGCCTGGTAAATATTTCTATAATTAGTCAAAGCACAGTAATTTTTTTCCCTACAGGTTAAATACTGCTGATTAGCTGCTTACTTTTTAGAAAGTTCTCTGTCCTTAGTATTATATATACACGAGTCTTTTTCTGACCTGCTGTAAGCCCGTTAGTCCAAACCAGATAAGGAGTCTAATTTTAGAGCTGGAGATAGTGTAACACTGTTACTAGTTGATACTTGCTATGTCATTGCATTCTAGGATTATGTAATAAACAAAAGAACTGCCTCGTAGAAGAGAATGACTGATTAATTACAATACAGTAGTGATCTTGTTTTTGGTGTTATTGTTGCATATGTATATCTGCCTTTGCATTGTTAGTTCTAAAAGATACTGTCTACAGGTATTGCTGACAATTAAAAAAAAAAATTACAATTCTTATTTATTCTTGGAAATATATTTCTTTGCTTGCTATGAATCAGTTAATACTGAGCCATGATATTTTGCTGTGCTAGTGCACTTTACTGAATGTATCAAAGTACATAAGACATATTGATATTGTAACAATTAAACACAGAAACAAAGACTGTGTCTAAAAAACAATTCCAAAGTTTTAGGAAGGAAGGCTTATAACAGAACTCTATAATAATAGAGTTCTGAGACTGCCTGATACAAGAAGAAAGTGGTTTAGGCAGATTCACATAATTTGACTTAACACACTCATTCTATAGAAAAGAATTGAATCTCAAAGACTGGCAAGCAGAATTTTTAACAGGAACACTACTACGCAAATCGAAGAGCAATTCTGGTGTCATGCTACGTACTAACTGCCAGACACTTGTTTGCTTTACAAAATATGCATTAATTTATCAAAGTACCCCGCAAAATAAACAAAACTGAAGAAAACCTAAGCATTTTAAATGGTTAGGATTTGACAAAGGAAAAATAGAAAATGTTCCAAAGTAGCAAATCCAATTTTTGTTTCTTCAGAAACAAGCTCATTTCAGGTAAAAGCTGTTAGCTACTGCGATGTAAAGAAAATACAATTTACAATGTTCAGTGTTACAAACAAGAACTAATTTTGAAAAGATAACTAGTGGATTTCATGATGGCATAACTACATGAGCGGATGAGGAAAATGCTTGATGCCATCTATCTTAATGTCAGCAGAGACTTGGACATAGTCCCCATCATATCCTTCTTTTCAAATTCCAAATGTGTGGATTTGAAAGGTGGACTGATGAACAAAGTTTGGTCTAGTCATACCTTGAGAGTGGTGGTCATTGGCTCAACGTCTGGCTAGAGAAAGTAACAAGTGGTGCTCCTCAGGGGTCAGTACCGGGACCAATGCTCTTGAATATCTTCTTCAGCAGTGACATTGACAGTGGGATCAAGTACATTCTCATCAAGTTTGTGGATGACAACAAGCTATGTGATAAGGT